CCTGAAGTCCAAGTTGACAAACCTACGTACAAAGGCACCCGCATGTGTCGGGCTGCTCCTTAAACCCTTCAAATACCACTTCGAAAAGTACACCCTGTCATTGAAAGGCTGGAGCCTTAAAACGGCAAAAACCAAAAGGAAGATGAATGCGCTGAGAATATTGATAGCTGCAGAAACCCCAATATCTTGCAAAGTAGCCATTTTCTTATAGCTCCTCCGCAGGCGAATTTATTTCCCTGAAGTAAAAAACAAAGCAGATTCTATCACCGAACTAATGGAAATAAATCGTCTGCAAAATTCCGTTGTCCATAAACTACTAAATTTGACCATCAAATCTCACATTCAGCTCTTGCAACTAACCCATTTGCTAAATGGAACCGTTATCAGCTAGGGTAACGAACATTTAAAGAAACATAAAACCAAAAAATCTGGAAAATTGGAGAAGCAACCTAATTAACACTTGTAAAAGACGAATTAATATCTCCATTGATGATTTCAAGCAACAAAACAAAATTCAACTAAACGAATTCATAGTATCAAGGGATGAAGTAATTAATCGTTTCTAATGGCACCAATTCCCAAAATTAGTAAATTATTAAATAGAACGAAAGTAAACAAAAGTAACAAGCAATTTCAGCACAAAATCATACAGAAATAGCAAAAAAAAAAATTGACTGCCGCAGACTAATTCAATCCCACCAAATTCGCTTGAAGTGTACATAAAGAAAAAACGAAGACGAGAAAAGAAAAACTCCCTACTCGCTTTTAATCTCCAATCCAAACCTCCACAGTCTTCGGCACACCAAGAAGTTATCGGAGAACAATATGAACAAGACAGCCTTCGGATTGCTTCAAAGACGTATCGACCAAAAGAAGATTCTCCAACTCCTTTTGAAGGAGAACTAACACGATACGCTACTAAGCTCCTTTTCTTCACCCCGATTCGTAGTCACCAACTTACCAATCCAACCAAAAGAAGGAATCATCCAACAAAAAAGGAATTGCGTCTGGAATTAACAAGAAATCACGTGAAAATCCAACCAAAAATAGAAGAATATCACACACAGTAAACAAACCAAAACCAAAAAGCATCGCCATAGTGAGATTCAATGAAAACAAAGGAAACACCGAGAGAAACCTTAGGAATGCTGCAATAATAGTGAACAAACGGCGGTGAGATCCATCGGTGTGAAGTAGATTAGAACGCCGGGGGGTTTCTGTTCTGAAAGTAATGAACTGTTGAAAGTTCCTAATAATTTTTATTAATTTTAATTAACTGGAAATTGGAAGATTCCGGAAACGGACGGTTCGATGTCGGCAAACCGCCACGAGGATATTAATAATAACGGCTATTTTTTCTGTCATAAATTTTATTTTCTTAATAATATAAATTTATTTCCTTAGCTTTTTTTTTTTAAAACGTCATTTAATTTATTTTCTAAAATTAAAAAATATATATATATATATATATTAATATAAATACTAATAATAAAATCTATAATTTTTTTTTTGATAGTGCAAAAAAAAAATTAATTATTAATTTAAATAAAAATTTATCAACTATTTAATTTACAAGAATATATATAAATTATAAAATCATTTGCCGCACGGATACATTTCACAGGAAAATGGGCGGTGTGGAACACGCGCTCCTCGTGCGTCCACGTGGCGATCACGTTGGAGAGGTTAGTGGCTGGCAAGATTTTGACAGCGCTGGGACAGTTGGACCAGACCGGCCCGAACCGGCAGGTTCTCGACGACAAAAAGTAAAATAAACAAATGGAATAATAAATAAAGAAAAAAAAACAATCCTAACGTTACGCCATTTGTGGACCATCGTAATTGACAACCCAATTATAATATGCCACGTGTCATACTTTCTTGAATGTATCTGCATGTCACTGTCATGGTTATGGTGTGAATAAAACGGTCATGGGGTAGGTATATACGTGTATATTTTATCTGTAAAAGTTTTCGACTTGGTCCTTTAATTAATATTTTCAAATTTTCAAAAAAGACTGCTGAAGAAAAAAAAATATATATATATATATATAATATATATTTAGAAACTAAAATCAGATTAATAAATAATTGTATTAATTTAAAACTCTCGATTTTTTAATATCAGCACAAATATATCGATTTTTTATTTTTGATAGCTTTCTATTCTCATGCATCGTAGGATTAGTTACGATAGTCAAGCACAAGGTGAATATCTGTGATGTTCTACATTGGTTGGGGAGGAGAACAAAATACTTTTTTGGGTGTAGAAATCTTTCCGTAGGAAACGTGTTTTAAAGTCTTGAGGGGAAGCCCAGAACGGAAAATCCAAAAAGAACAATATCTGCTAGCGGTGGATCTGGGTTTAGGGTAAAAGGTTCATTAATAATAAAACGTAATTGTATCTATCAAATCGTAAATTATATTTTTATTTTCTTACAAATGTAAATTTATTCCGACATCCAGCATGGGTAGCATAGTTCGGCTTATTGTAAAACTACATAAAAAAAAAATTGATTATAAAGATATATATCTCGACCAAGAGATATTAGAGGTTTAAATCGCATAATCTACATATTAAACAAAAATAAAACAAATTTTAGATATTTTGTTAAAGCATTTCCCTTCAAAATTAAATGTCTTAGACCAAATCAAAGCTGAAAGAATCCAACGGTGTTAAAGCATGGTGACACCGACCAAGAACGTAGAGAATCGTAAGAGATTAAACTATGATTGTATTCGTTGATCCGAATGTTTATGCTAAATCAACACCTTAGGTCGAGTCCACACTTAACCTACACCTTGCACGAGACCTATGCATTGTGCTATGCAAAAACCTTGCATCGAACCATACTCCTGTGTTGTGTTGCGCTGAAATCGAGCACGGAATCAAAATGAACCAAGAGCAACTTGACCTGCAAGGGCTAAATGCAATCAAAGTTCATCCTTCAATAGTGAGATATTTATAGAAAAGAAGGGCATGCCAAATGAGGGATAGATTTGAGTAGATTTTCGTTTTAATACTCCAAAGTGTGGATGAAAATCCCTCGGCTAATGTAGGGAATAATCATGAGTTTGTAATCAAGGAATACTCTCTTCATTGGTGCGAAACCTTTCAGGAACCCCAAATTTATAGTCAAAGAATACTTTAGTACGAGACCAAATTAAAGCTAGGAGAACTTATGTTCAAAGTAGACAATATTATACTATTGTAGAGAATCATGTTCGTCTAGTATGGCATTAGAGTCGTGCCAATAGATTAGTAAATTCTCAAATGTCGAACAAAAGACTCCAAAATGAATAGAAAAAGGAGTCGAGCCTCAATTAAAGAAGAGGTGTTTGTGTATAGAGTCTCACAAGGTTGTAAGGAAAAGTAGACTTCTACGTCCACGGCATCAGATATTAAACTGATAAGAACAAATACTACACTTGATCTTAGCCAAAAGGCCGAGAAAGGTATACTTATTGGACCGGAATCCCTCCCTTTTATAGCTTGTCCTCGGTTCCTTCATCGTACACTCGTCGATGTGGGACAAAATGCATGTTTTTCATTTTTATTTTGGACACTCTCACTCTCCCTACCCTATCAATCAAAATTATATTTTTGCTTTCTTTCGAAAATAACAAAAATATGATCTCTATAAATGGCATATTTTTATAGATGTTCATGTACAGATATGATATAGTTTAAACCTTGAATCTTCTAATCAACGGAATATATATTAAAGCCTATTAGCAATTCAATACACGGCAAGGTGAAGTGCAACTTATGGTAACTCACTTCTATTGGTCTTAGTGGCTACTCGATACACAACGTGTAATTACCATTTAGGTATGCATAATATACACATTAACATAAACCGGAACATTTCTCCATACTCTCATTTACTAAAGAGCTTATACAAATTAATGTCCAATCAATCAGTTCTATCTTTCACATCTCCAATTTCATAAACCCTCGGAGTTCATAATAATTTACCATTTTTGAAGATATCCATGCATTCTTAATCACTAACATGCTTTAACACGTCAATACAATCGTTTCGAACATAATTTACTATATATAAAACGAACATTCCAAAATAACTCATAACCATCCTACGAGCAACACTTGAATAGAAATTTCAATTAGTTACTTAATAGTTATTTACATTTTAGCCGATTTAGGACATTTTCTTCCTCCAAAACCTTCCCATAAGGCTCTAAAATTGTAATAAGTCGATACATAGCTAACAAATTATATTTTTAAATACTAATTGATATATTAGATATAAATTTATATTTTAGAAGTTTAATTGTTTATTAAATAGAGGCATGAATTTAAACAAAATATGAAGGTTGAAGAATTAAATTCTAAATTTTAAATTTTAAAAATTCAAGCATCACAAAATTTAAAGTTAATGTACTAACTTTTGTAATTTAATCTTTAGTATTTTCTGTTTTATTAATTTTTAATTATACAGTTTGTTGTTGAAAACAACTAAAAATTAACTTGTGATAAGCATACCTGACATAATATTTATTGACATAAGGTCAATTGAATTTGTAGATATTATCTTATGGACATAAATATAAAATATTTGCTTATTTGGGATTTAAATACTGAGATAACTAATGTTGATTTCATATAAAATATTAAATGGCATTAATAATTGTTTAATACTTTTAATTAATTTAAAATTATATTTTAATATAAAACGTGAATTGGCGAAAAATTCAATAAATTAATTAAAATGCAAGAGAAGAAAATGATATAATCATAAAATAACATCAATATTATTTAATATATATTGTTATATTAGTTAGTTAATTAATTGATCAACCATATAAAAATAAATAAATATTTTTAACTTACCCCAAAATTTTCGTATATTTTGCATAGAAAATTTTCTTTGGTATACCTTTAAAAAAAAGTTAAAACTCCTTAGTCCCGTTCATCTTTGGGGTAAGAGCTCTCGATCAGTGAGCTATATAAAGATTATTTACATCAAGTCTTTTTCTCGAATAAAATGACATATTCTAGTGATGCTATGCTACAACATCAGATATCATATCATTCTGTAAGATCTAACCTCCCACCAGCAGCAACAATAATGGCAGCAGAGAAGAATAAATAACTATAGATTCTTAGGTATGGTGATGTACCAATTGAATCTTCCAGAAATTTGTCTACTCTGTAGATTCATCCTGTAACTTTTTGGTCTAAAAACAAGAAAATGAACGAGATGTAACTTGTCGGTAAGCATTTGATGAACAATTAACATTGGCCGACATACACGAACTTACCTCGACGTAACGAAGAATGTCAGGTGAGGAATGTATTTGGCCAGTGCTGAAGTAAGAATGAGCATATTCTTCTATTTTCTCCATCCTATAACGTCATAAATAGTTAGATGTTGGAGGGAATGTTCATAGTTATATTGCTATCTCAGTACTTCAAAGAGAAGCCATGAAATGTTTGAAGGAGAATACCTGTAAACGTAGTTCACCATGATGCCTCCACTTTGAAGGAGGCCTTTGACGGATCGATCTGCCATCCAGTTAAGTCTCTCAATTATCTGTTCCACATTTAAGAACAGCAAATCAAAGCCCGAACACTTTGAGGGCACATTACTTCTGTCGATTTGAAGTATAACGCTAAAAAGCCAATTAAAAAACCAGCACACTTCCAAAGATAATAAAAGGTCCAAATTGATATTCGAGATCCCCCCTTGACAACCTTTGATTTAGTTATTGATTTTTGAAAATTAAGATCGTAAAAATCACTTCCACCTAATGATTTCTCTGTTCGTTCTTTACTTTTTAGAACTGTTTTAACCATCCAAGCTAAGTTTTGAAAACGGAAAAAAGTAGTTTTTTAAAAAACTTGTTTTTGTTTTAGAAATTTCGCTAAGAATTCAAATGTTTACTTAAGAAATATGAAAACCATGATAAGGAAGTCGTAAGAAAACAAGCACAATTTACAAAAACCAAAAATCAAAAACTCCAGGAAAAGAAAAGAACTCAGGAAAAGTTTCCTTTTCTGCTAATTGAGGGAAAGATACATACTGCTCCGTTTTGCAGGTGAAAGTTTGCTACAGAATCTAGAGCTTTTCCTCTCTTTTTCTCTTCCACAAGGTACCTAAAATCAACCAAATGGCATAAATTATCAATTAGCCTTCAATTCTCTCCTACACCAAGGCTACATAACCTTAATCCATAAAACTAAAATCTATACCTGGCACACAAGCGCATTAGAGGGCGTTTTAATGCTGAAAGCAATTTTGTCGAACTGATCCACTCATGGTTTGACAAAGTCAATAACTTGAACAGGATTTCCATGCCATTCTTTCCGGTGACAAAATCTCTGCAAGACGTCAATGAGAATGTCATCGTATTGGCGAAAACATCACTAACCATTCTTTGAGGCTGGAAATGAAACAAATGATAAACGAATTCTTTTACTGTGATGATTCGATGAGCAGTCTTTCCTCCTCCGGTTCAAGAATATTCTCCCAGAAAGTGGAAACAGATTCATCTCCGGGTGTACGTGTTGCAACCTCTACCTCGTCGAGATTTAATTGAGATGCCAACTTTGATAAGAGCCACTGCATGAAACCTGGGATTGGACTTAGAGTTGCAAATGTCTGCAGAGTATATACCTCCAAATTAGTGTTTATTGCAAGAGACTAAGAAAGTGGTAGTGTCATTTAACGGGAAATGAAGCTTTAAAAAGCAGGATTCAAAACTTCGATCATTCAAACGGATGAAGAGGATATTGTAATTGATCAATTAAACTATACGTCTATCATCCAGATTGATCTTGTAGATGCACTATCGAATATCCTTTTATCATATAAATTTTTATAGCCCAAAATATCCCTTTAGTTCAACTACTTTGTACCCACTTCTCTTTTCCTTTGGTCTCTTGTCCTCTGCCTTTCTCTCTCATTCCGGCTCTCTCTCCCTCACCTTCATAAGAGGATGAAACTCCTCATGAAGAGAAATTTTTTCTCTAACATCATACACATCATTCTGCAAAGCCTAACTATGAAGAGGGCTTCAACTTCCTTTGCACAGAGAGGTATGGACAAATTTGAAATTTAGTGAATAAAGACAGAGTTGGTGACAGACAAAATATTGTACGTGAGAATAAACAATGAAACCTCCTCCATAGCCACTTCTTACAGCCTATCGATGCCACCATCTAAAGTAACTTCAAATGTATAACATACAAGCAGAACATGGATGGTCAAAGAAATAATAAGGTTACAGAGTTCAGGCTGCTTTCTGTAACATTGTTCACATGAGATCTAGCAGAAAACTTTTACTTCAAAACTTGCCATAATCTGGCCAAATAGTCTCGAGAATACGTACACTGATAAATGGCATGTCTCTCTTCACAAGTGTTATTACTCGTTTAATGAGGAACTTCCCAAGATTGATTCCTGATAAGCCAGGCTGCAAAATTTCAATGGTTTAATATCAGAAAGTAAAAAGATACATTATTATCAACATTTAAGACCAAATCAACCATTTTCAAAGAGCAAAAAGGGCACATATACAGAAAATTACAAATTCTAACTTCGCCAAGAATTATTACATACAATAACGAAACAAAGATCATACCCCCCTTGATAGCCAATCGTATTCATCAACTATATACATTTTTTAAATTCTAGGATGTGTTTTATATAATTATATTACAAATTTTATTTTAGAAAATGAAAAATAAAATTTTAAAAATCTGAAAATGAGCAGTTTTTTTAAGAGAACTTGAAAGTAACACATTTTTAAAACTATATAGAAGTGTTTATGGAAAGTGCAATTACTGTCCTATCGATTAACGTTCTTGTATTGCAAGAGGGAAATATTTTTCAGACAGCATTGTGTTTACACCTTTCTGATGATAAATTTAACGTCTTCCCAAAGCTTTTTATTTTTGCAATAAATAACATCAAAACTTATACATGCCTTTGTAGAGGATATAGAGTAAAACAATGCACAGGTTGCTTCACTTTCAGGTATCGGGGGATCATCCCACAAAACTTCCTACCAAACAAGGAACAAATGAGTGTTACTAATAACAAAATAAATTAATAATAGGTTATAGATGCAGAAAATAACCTGTACTGTTTGAGCCACATTCTTCAAAAGTGCAACTTCAATAAAAATAAGAGGTTCACCTGGAGAAAACCTTGAGATTATAATGTATAATATGAAGTTATCATTTCAACATAATTCCATTATTGTTCTGCACCCAAACCCATAATTTCTGCATAATAAGACCCGCCACAAATCCAAAGATCACGGTAGAAGATGAACACAAGGACTTACACAAGTACCACAGATGGATCCTAAATCTTCATTATTTTAATAATAATGCAGTTTCCATCCAAATAATGCAGACAACCAATAAGAAATTTTCCAACTTAAGTACATACATAATGACTAGCAGACTAAGTTGTCCTAATTTGTGAAGTCTTCAAGTTTTCCAGATGGATAATTTGATAATGCTTTTATCTTAACTATAATTAGCCGATGATGCAGGCTATGACTAGCTGCAATAACCAAGAAATGTGTGTGAGGGGGAGGGGAGAAATAAACCTGGTATTGCAGGGTGTAGATATCCAAAACAACGTCGGCCAACTCCCAGCCTTCTCTTAAGATCAATAAGATTGCTGATAGGATGCACAGCCTGTAATGGGTTGGAAAAAATAAGCACTGTGTATAACAAAAGGTATAAGAGTGACCAAGGAAAGAAAATGCACCTCATAAGCTACAATTTTCTCTAGTAAAGAAGCAGGGTCATCCCAAGTTATTTGGTGAAGCTCCAAGACAGCAGGACTGAGCCACATACTAAGTTTCTCCTTCAAGTAGGTATCCAATGCCCTCAAAGATGCAGTGTTTTCCTCTCTGATGAAACAAAGTTATTAAATCATCTTTTCTGAAAGAAATGTTTCCAGTTCTCAATCATCTGCAACGAGTTCACTAATTTTATAAAAAAAAATTTATTATTTAAAAAGTCTTTTTTCAGCAGAACTGAGCCACATACTGACTTTTTCCTTAAAGTAGGTATCCAATCCCCTCAAGACGCAATGTTTTCCTCTTTGATAATACAAAGTCACCGTAACACCTCTTTTTAAAATGTGCTTCCAGTTCTCGATGATCTATCACTGGTTCACAAGGTTCACTACTTCTTAATTATTTGAAAAGACTTAGTTATAACACACATTTTTCAACACTTCAAATGGCTCCCAATTAAAATTAGATGAACCCATCAGAATAAAATGAAAATAACATCAATCATGATCTTACTCAAGAATAGAGAGAATATCCGCTCGTAGAATGGACAAGAACCCCAGCCCACCAGGATGTGTGTTAAGCCGCTCAAAAAGAACTTCGTATGTTGGTTTTAGAGCATGCCTCAAATTTCGCTCAAGATGGTAGAAAGCAGAAAGTGGGGTGTCATCTTGTTGACCAGCAGATTGTGCATTATCACCTAAAGTCGAAAACCTGACGCAAATCAATCTACAATTCTACATCTACCATCATATATAGCACATTGTTCATGAAAAAAACAAAGCAAAACTAATCTTACCACTAGGTAGCTCAAGACCAAGATATTGCTTCATCAGAACACGAACTTGTGTTCTATTGAAGTCATACTCTTTGGCAAGCAGGCGAAGCAACTCACGGCGGTTGTCAAGGGAGAGACTGAAATAGCCCTAGTAATTAAGAAGGAACAGGAACTTATACACAAAAATAATCACATTCAAAATCAAATCACAAGTTTAACCATAGGAATATAATAAGAAATGTGTAGAAATTAATACAATCCATTTACATTTATAGACTTGCCTTTGAAAAATCATTAAGCACGGCATCTAGACCTTCCATTTCCTTCATTGAAATGGCCGAATGCATCCATCCACGCACAATGTCGAAATCTCTGACAACATTGATCATAAATGACCTTTAGCTTTTCGGTCGTAAAGTACAGCACAGTCTGGATGATAAAATACACAATTTCTACATTCCAGTACATAAATTTTCAAAAAACCTTTCTGCGTTGCCTGAGCAATCGAGCCGTCTTATAGCATCGTCCGAACTATGCTCCATTACACGTCCACTTGATTCTTGTGGATTAGATTGCATCCGGTTCTGTATCAAAAATCATATAAATTGTGAACAACGCTAAATTGGTCAGATAAGAATTTCCTGAATTCTCAAGACTCAGTGATACTATACAAAGCCAAATTAGGAAGAGAAATTCAACAACGATTAGGGCTGATAATCACTTGAACTCAACCCTACAACTAAACAGAAAAAAGGGAACAGCGAACATACAGGAAGAGGGGACAGAGAGAGCTTGGTGAGATCGTTGTTAGGTCTCATCCTGGTTCGCATCAATATTGCCAATCCTTTCTTGTTCATACCTAAAGATTGAATCGAACCTTCAAACAAGAACCACGAAGAGACTGAGATGGACGAAGGTCGGTATCCTTGTTTCTTTCTGCGTTCGTTCGGACTTCATTTTCAAAGATTGGGTCATTCTCTTCGCACACTCAAGCTCCAAGCGCCATGAATTCTTCCCTTCTTCGCAACAACCAGATCAAACTTCGATCCTGTGGCTTTCAGGAACACACAGACTTTGAACCCACGGACATATTCGTTCCTCTCCCAATAGTTCAGGAGAGATAGCGTTTACTCAAAACACTGGGATGAACTAAATTATAGAAAATAATCATCCTTTTTTATATTTGTTTAAATATATTTGTATCAATTGAAAGAATATTTTTTTATTATAAATTTATTATCATTTCCTAAATTAACATACGTGAGACTTTCATCATCCAACAATACTAATTATGTCATAAAAGTCATATGTATACTTAGATCTTGATAAGTGGGATCCAATGAACATTGACGTAGAAAATTAGTGACTTTAAATGAGACTAAATTATAACTAAGCGATCTTACTGTTGTTGTATAAATAAGACGTACTATGTGGTTTATCTGCCTGTTATTACATGTATAATGTGATGTTTATGATGCATGTAGTTTCAGTATGTCAATTCATATATGTTATAATACCATGTTCTCGTTATGCCCTATGAGACACTTAACGAGTCATGTATAATAAAAATGAATGAGATGACATGCACACGTATGTCGTGCAAAGTATGGAAGCATAATGTGCATCATAATCATGTACCATGATTTGAAAATGCAGGATCTTATGCATGTTGTATGTCACGAGCACAGAATAGTCGTGTACACGACTTAAGACGGTCGATATACAAGTTTTAACAGACTCTAGTCTAAAACAATCCACAAATAGGGGTATTTTGGTAATTTAATAAATTTAATTTAATATTAAATTATTACGGATTTTCATAATGTATAATTAAATTTTCATTAATCTCATTAAAGAAAGGTATGATTATTTATTTGTTTGATTTTATAAAACTAATGAATTGAAAATTTAAGGCCCTTTTGATGGTGTTTTTTTATTCATTTTTTAGAAATATTTTTAAAATTTACGCTAAAGTTTTAAAATTAAAAATATATATTTATATTTTTGAAGTTTTTCTTATTGAGAAATATGAAAATATTTTTTAATTTTGAGAATTTAACTTCTTTACTTCCACGATTCACTCAGTATTTTATTATTTACTTCTTACCCATATCCTTTGTTTTAATTTATTATTTCAAATTTGCAGTGAATATATATATATATATATATATAAATTTCTACCCAAGCCCTTTTTCATTTAATTTATTTTGTTTTTTTTTATTTATATATATATGAAATATGATTTTAAATAATAACTAAATTTTTGTTTTATATATTTTATTTAACATTAGAACCATTAAAAATTAATTACTTAACTAATTAATTGTATAATTTATGTAACATTTACCATTAAATTAAAATTTATCAAATTCAAATCGTTAAATACGCATGATAATGATAACATTAGTTTGAACCATTCCAACTAAATTGAACATTCGTGATGCCGCAAAACCAACGTCAAAGGTATTAGTAGGTGTTGGATGAAAGTTCCATATGAGCTAATTTAGGAAATGCTCATGAAATTATAATTAAAGAATACACTCTCTATTGTGTGAGGCTTTTTGAGAAAGTCATAAGCAAATTCGATAGGTTTAAAGTGGACAATATAATAATATTATGGAGAATATTATTTCTCTGACAGGGTTGAACTAGACCCCTGCCAGGTCACATTTAGTTTGGACAGATGGGTTCAGTTTTTGTGTGTTGTAAAGGACTCAGGGAGTGGGCCAGAGCACACAAGACGCATTTATGAGGATATTTTATACTTACAAAGGTTTGGCAGAAAGTGAAAAGTCAGACGCGCCACTGGGAAGTCCAAAAAGGGAACCGTCCGTAACTGAACATTTTGGTCATTTTGTCCTAAACTAACCCCAAGTCGGTGCCCGTCCCCCTCCCCCTGTTTCTACGGGTTCCTTTCTGAGTCAGCCACTCCCTTTTTTCCATTTTTCTAAATAAAATATTTCTAAAAAAAGTTAAAAAAATATTTTGACCGTTACTATTTTATTTTAAAAATACACTTCAATTTTTAAATAAAAAAAAAATATATATATAACCAAAATAAAGAATATTTGCCCTCAAAATTGTAAAACGCTCTAATTTTAAAAAATACAAATAAGTAACGTTAAAATCTTTCGAATTATTTTTAATAAATTTATTTTGTTTTTAATACGTTAAATGTCGTAAATATCCTTGATATATATAATAAAGGGTAAAATTATTGTAAAAAAGTGGATGAATATAAATGCAAAAGGCAATAAAATTGTGATATTGGACCCGCCCTATTCAGCAATAATTATTCATAAATCAATCTTGTAGCAATCAATTTTGAATTATTTTATCGCCTTTATTTCACAATAATTATATATATATTTTAATTTTTATAATTTCAGAAAAAAATATTTAATGTTATGAAATAAAATAGTATATTATAAAAACAGGAATTTATTTTATATGACTGAGGAATTTGAAGTTTAATAAATTTTCAAAATGTAATTACGAGTAATTATAATTTAATGTTTTAATTGATAAAAAAAAAGGAGAAAAAACACAAGTTAATTAAACAAACCCATAATGACTAATGAAATTCTAACTAAATTAATTAGTAAAAGAATGCCAAATGACCGTAGTACCCTTTTAGAGAAAATATGCCAAATAAGATAAGAGACAAAACAAAATTGAACCGTGAACGTTGGTTACAAAAAGACACCAAAACAAGATGAGAGTCCAAGCACCCGGTCTTCCCTCCTAACCTCAACCCAAACCGAAAGTACAACGTTAAAAACTTCGAAAACAATCCTGTGTTAAGAACTAATTGACATAATAAAACAATAACGAAGGAGAAAATCAGATTTACTGAAAATATTTAATTAAAAAAATAAAATATTTCTAACTGAGTCTAATTTAAAAAGTTTTTAAAAATATGTTTAATATTTTTTATTTAGGAAAATGAGATGAATTTATATTCTTTAAACACAATCCCCACCCCAAAAGTAAAATACAATAAAAGGAAAAAGACACAAGGACAACAGAAATTAAAAACGGACCCTGCTATAAATGCTGTCCAATGTATTTTTTAAAATCTTTAAATATATATATATATATATATATATATATATATATTATTCGAGTTAAAATAATATATTAATAACTAAAATTACGTTACAAATTACCCATCTAATATTTTTAATATTTATAACAATCTTATAAATACTAATAATTATTTACAAGTAATATTAAAATGTTTAAAGATAATTGTTAGTGAAAAGAGTGTGATTTGTTAGACGAACACAACCCGGGTATGATATTGTCCACTTTGAATATAAGCCCTCATAGTTTTGCTTTATGCTTCCCAAAAGGCCTCATAACAATAGAGTTAGTATTCCTCACTTATAAACCCATGATCATTCCCTAAATTAGTCGATGTGGGACTTTCATAATCCAACATGATTGATGGTTGAGGAGAAGATTGAATTATGAAGAGTAAGAATGCTCTATACTAGTAAACAAATAAAAAATTTAATCTAACTTCGAGATTTAATTAGATACTAAACAACCATCTAAATAAATACCTTCGTGATAGACGATTTTCGTTCCTATATTTAATGTCAGAAAATGGATAAAAACGTGGAATAAACAAAGAACAGGCATCAGCTTTCTCCTGTAATTGCTAGTTTCCAGAATTTTAATCCAACGCCACCTTCCCCTTTGTCGCCGACACACTCTTCCTTCACTTTTTCCACTTCTCTCTCTTCATTACTCTTCCACAATCTTTGAATCCCTTTCTCTCTCTCTCTCTAGCTGTCACTTTCTTTTATGGCGATGCTTCTGTCCACTGCCCACCGATCTCACCTTCAACTACTACTTCTGCTACTCCTTCTCCCTTCACCCCTCTTCTTCACATTCTCCCCTTCTTTCTATGCTTTAAACCCATAAACAACAGCCTAACAGAGCATCCCTGAATGTGCTTGGCGTTGTAATGGCTCTGTGGGTCTTCATCTTCATGATTTTCTTGTTGATCTTTGGTTTTATTCCAGTTTTTCCTGCTCTTACTGATGATTCTGATGGTGGGTAATCGGTTGATTTCTTTTCCATCCTTTGTTTTGATCGGATTGCTTTTTTCCCCTCTTTCTGCTCTGTTTTTTAGTCTGGGTTTGGTGGATTGGGTTGTTTGTTTGAAATGCGATTAATGTATGTTCTTTAGTGATGTTTGATTTGTTCGTTGTTTATATGTCGATTGAGCTCTTTTAGAGAAAACCCAGATGAGTGAAGGAAATTGGGGGAGAAAGTATTGGTGTTGTGGGTTTTCCCTAAATGTTCATTTGTATGCGAGTAATGGGGAAGATTCATCTTAGTTACTGAGATTTCTACTGTTCTTGTTTGAGTTATGATCTGCTAATGATGAAAACACTTGTTTGGCTTGTTATTCATCTGAGTGTTTTCTGGTGGTGTTGTAGTTCAAGCTTTGCAAGTTATATACACTTCATTGAACAGTCCTCCTCAGCTGACTGGTTGGATTGCTGGTGGTGGGGATCCATGTGCAGAGTCATGGAAGGGTGTGGCTTGTGAAGGGTCTGCTGTTGTTTCCATGTGAGTGATGAACTGATATTGATGATGCTTTTTTGATACTCAATCGCTTGATTACTTCAAATGAACTGATTTACTGTTTATTGCAACAGTGAGATTTCTGGTTTAGAGCTGAATGGAACGATGGGTTATGCGCTTTCGAGTCTTTTGTCATTGAAAGAACTGTGAGGAAACTATTATTATGCCATTGTCTTGTCTTTGAGTTCATGCAACGATCCACAATCTTACTTACTATCTGTGTTCTTCAGTGATATAAGCGACAACCTTATTCATGACTCAATTCCTTACCAATTGCCGCCGAATCTCACGAGACTGTATGTTTAATCGTTTTTCGTCTTGTTGGTTTGCTCGTGTTTAGTTGCTTACTTCTAATCCATGATCTGTGTAGAAATATGGCGAAGAACAGCTTAAGTGGTAATCTTCCTTATTCCTTTTCCACCATGGCTTCTCTCAGTTATTTGTGAGTGATGTTACAGTTCTATACATTTGTTATTATATTTTATGTCATTGAATTAGAATTGGATGTCCCTGACTGTCTTCTCTCTCGAAATCTTGG